AGTGGGATTTGCTATGAACTTTGGGACGAGCACGGTTCTTGAGGCCGAACTTTGGGGAGTGATCCAGGGGCTAAAGCTCGCTTGGGACCGGGGCTTCCGATAAGTTGATCTTGAAGTCGACAATTTGAGTGTTACGAACTTGATCTCTCGCTTGGATGGAGAAGTCAGCTTTCATCGTCAATTGGTGCAGGTCATCCGTGAACTTCTTGCTCGAGCATGGGTAGTTAAGTGCCAGCATGTGTATCGTGAAGGAAACTGTGCGGCGGATTTCATAGCTCGACATGCGGCTGCATATCCGATCGGGGTTCACGTGTTACCCGTTCCACCTACTGGCTTGCAGATTTGGCTCAAGAATGATCGTATGGGGGTGTCCCTCCCCCGACAAGTCCTAGGCTGAGCACTAGGCCTCTTTCTCTGTACCGAAAAAAAAAAAAAATAATTGGTCTCAAAATTTTAAAATTCCTGACCAATAACATTTAATATCAAATATAGTACCCAAAACAAATATTACAAAAATCAATGACAAATATTTGGAGTACAAAAAATAATCATCTGACCAAGTAAAATCTTTACATGGATAAATTTAATACATATAATAGTGATTGATATATTAGAAACTTAAATTTTTATTATTTGCTCCATTTTAAGTTTTCACAAATGTTAATACATTGAGTTTGACATGATTAAATCTATAGATGTTGTATCTTAAATCAATGATTATGTTATGATTTTTACTATTATTTGTAACTTTTATTATTATTTTCTCTATCATATAGCATTCCGTGCAAAAGCACGGGTTAACACTAGTTCCTAATAATCTCGTGACATTTCAAGAATCCTGGTGCATTCATTTGAGATGCTAAAATCACGTGTATTCATTTAAGATTTAAAAAAAATTAATAATCTAAGTGGTATTTAATTTTTTTATCATTTTGATTTGTTTAGACTCTTTTGCTATGGTATCAAAGAAAAAATTACTTAACCAATATGAGTTGACTCAAGTGGTAAGCAGCTTGATACCGCTTAAGTAAGGTCTCGGGTTCGAGTCCTTGTGGATGCAGAAACCCTTGTTGAGATACTCACCCACCACTGCTAGGTGTGCGACCCGGGTCGACCAACGGATTAATCGGGGCATAGCTCCGGATACTATGGTTATACAGAATTTAATATTAAATTTCACCTAAATTTTTCAACAAATGAATAGTCACTTCACCTAGCTAACATGCCATTTTAATTCCCAACACTTAGGCTTCAATTTGTGTAATGTTAAGTCGATCGGTAGTGGCAGAGTCTGTCAATAATTTGTGAAACAAAGAGAAGTTTGACAAAAGCTACTACATATTATTGACATGATAGTTCAATTCTATACTAAAGCACATAAATTTTGGGGCCATCATAGCCCACCACGGTTCTCGTGAAAGAAAGTGTTTTATTTGCAGGGGAGGCCTCAAATAAGATGCACATATAAATTGCAAATTTAGTCCCATTCATTTCAGCGTTTTCCACTTTTGGTCCCAAAAATATCATTTATTATCTTTTTTTTTTTATTTTTTTCTTGCAGAAATGGTCTCAAGTCCGTCAAAACGGGGCTCACGTGAGGACGTTAGATTGGATCAATTTTGAAATTTTTGGGACCAATTTTAGAAATTTTTGAAAAAAAAAAAAGAGTTTTTCAAGTTCGTCTGGAAGTGAAATCAAATTATTCTGATGTTTAATTCAAAAGCAGAAAACTGACTTTTTTGCTTAAATAATTTGACTTACTTTTAGAGAAAATTTCTGAATGAAATTTAAAATTAACAGGACTCACGTGCAAGACGTTAGCAACTTTTGGGACCAATTATATGAGACAAGTTTTGTAACTTCATTTTTTTTTTTTAATTTGAAAGTCGAATTAGTCTCTTTCACTCAAAGCCGAAATGACGTAATAAAATTAATTTACTATGAATATGATGCGAGAAATAAATATTAAAAATTATTATTAAAATAATTAAATATTGAAAAACATGAACTTGATTTACTCATTTTTTGTGATAAGTCACACAATTGAAGAGTAATGTTTCCCTACCCACGGTGGACACATGTTAATATGTCCATCGCTTATGTGGCATGTACACATTGGTGATGCTAATATGTTCAAAAAAATACATCACTAATGTGTGCATGCCACATAAGCGGTGGGCATATTAACATTTGTCCACCGTGGGTAGAGGAACATTACTCCACAATTGAAACATTTATATATATAAAAAATTATGTGAAATCCTTATCAAGGGCGTTGATAAATTTCAATTTGTGGTGTAAAAGTAAGTGATATAATTACTGATCGAGTGGTATTTATTTTATTTTCTAATATTTTAATGGAATGTTGAATTAAATTGTGAAAAAAAATTCTAATTCCAAGTACATACTCGTGGTATATTTATATTATCAAAAAACTCATTCCGGTGAGTGAACAATAAATGATTAAATTTAATTGCTTTTCAATGTTGGTCGTGGTATTCGAAAGTTCAAAGAGACACTAGATGTGTTTTTAAGTGTATTTTTTTTTTTTTCCAAGTTTTAGTGTACCTTGTAAGAACTGAAATAATAAATTCATTTCGAGAGCTTTCCCGTTGTATACATATAAAATTTGTAGCAAATTGTCTCATATATAAAATTGTATCACATTCTCACCAAAAGTAGATCCTCAAGTCCACAATGCCAGCATCTGATTGGGACATACTAAATAAATTGTTCATTCAAGTAAAATCTTAGCAAGCTTGCAAAGCACATACAATCCTGTTTACAATAATTCAAAACTACTTTAATCAGTTATGTTTTTTCCTATATTGTGGTGCAGTGTGAAACGAGTTCTGTTTTCAGTTTTGTTCGGTTCTGTGAGCTGCACCAAATTGAATAATTTATATAGAAAGATCATGATGAAACCGAGCTAAACCGAGCATTTCGATGCGGTTCGGTTATGTTATTTCAATGTAAATATTACGGTTAGGTTTCAACTCTTTTTTTTTTAAAAAAAAATGTTATTTTCTTTATGTGTTCGGTTTTTTTTGGCGGATTAGTGCAGTTTTTCACCTAACCGCATCGTTGCTTACCCATAATTAACAACATATAGAAAATGATTATGAAACTTAAATAAAACATAGCCATTGATTGATATACATACAAAAGCACCACCAAGCTTGTCCAAATGAGCCTCTTCAAGTGTTTCTTCAGTCCTCTCGCCTGTTGATATACATACAATTAACCATATCGATTCATTCAATCGCCATTAATGATGATTCAAAAGAAAATGACGTACAACCCATGTGTCTCTTCCTCCCGAAGAAAAAACAAGAAAAAAACATGGTGGTTCGCGACTAGTGGCCACTGAAATTTGTTACAAGAGGGCAGTTAATGATGCACATGAACGTTGCTCGCTCGAAAATAGACGTTTGATTGTCAGCTTAGTTTACCATGGAGTACAATTTTTTATTTTTTTTTTTAGTTAATGAAATAATCCTGTCATTTACAGGATTTTTGGCATGATAACTCTTTATTTTGCTTGGCCCTTTTTAATATATAGTACATAGTATCTAAATAATTATGTTAAGTTAGGCATACTTGCAAATAAGTTTTAATTTTTGTTTTTTTTACAATTCTTTTAATATCACTAGCGCATCCGTGTAAATTTGCCTTTTCTTTCACTCTAGTACATATATATGTGAGGCCCATTTTGTAAAAGTGCATTGGGCCGTCGCCCAATTTGCCTTAGGCCAGGGTATGGCTGCACACGGATTGAGCGGCTTGTGAGCCGCTCGAACTCGAGTTTGACCGAATTCGAGTCGAGCTCGAGTCTAAATTTTGCATTGTCGAGTGACTCGAGATATATGTTAAATTACTAAAATATCCTTATATATGTATATATGTATCATAATATTAATATATGTACTTAATGATATTTTTACAAAGTTGCTTGAAAATTTTTGAACCGAACTCAAACCGAGCTCGAGCTATTGTATTTTTTTACCGAGTCGAGCTCGACTGCTCGAGCCTCATAAATCAAGCAGCTCAAAAAAAAAAAAAAAAATCAATCATTATCGATAAAGTCAATGCTCGACTCGACTCATTTGCAGCCCTAGACCAGAGATGGGCTTAGTAGTTCTACTTATGCATACTTTAATATAGATAATATACCTAAATAAAGGTACGGCATTTCACATTATTTTTTTTTTGGTACAGGGACCTTCCGGTTTCCGAATCCACAGGGGAACCGACTAATTCGGAATCGAGCCGGGTAGGACCACAAAGGCGGCAAAGCTCTCCCTCAAGAGTTTTAACATTGTTGCATTCCCAGGACTCGAACTCGAGACTACTGGTTAAGCTGGAAGAGACCCAAGCCATCTCATCCAAGCGCTCTTGGGTACGGCATTTCACATTATAAACGTGTATTTCGTTTTAAAAAAAAAAA